CTGGCTTCTCGTTCTATGTTGTCCACCTTTTTCGGTATATATATATATATATATATATACACGTAAGCAAAGAGAAGTATTATAAAGAAGTAGATTGAAAACTGACTACATTTTTTTAATTAAAAAAACACATAAATTAACAAGTATAAAAATATGACTTTTTCTAAACAACAGGATGAAGGTACAATACATTTGGAACTATATTTTAGTTTATTTATAAAGACAGTGATATTTATTTATTTATTATTATTATTATTATTATTTTCATACACTAAATAACATTAGAATTCCCACCAACAAGATGCTTCTAGAAGAAACCTGCTTACCCAAAGGATATGGTCAAGCCTACCAAGTGACAAGATAACTTGAAAGGGGTAAAAAGCTTTTGGTTTTAATGATTGATGCCATTTTGGTTGTTTTATTTTTATTTTTACACATTTTCCCTATTTTTTTTTATGATATTAATGTTTCCTCATGGAAAGATCTCCTTAGAAGACAAAAAAAAAAGTCAAAAAATTGATAGTACCTACTCTTTTGTACCATAATATACCTTCCTCAAAGTTTGGGTTTTAAGAATTTTACTTTCCCTTGCACCAAACAAGGATTGAACAATATATATATATATATATATACATATAAAGGACATTTGATTTATTGTTTAAATGGACAGTTGACATTTTGTTGCAAATTGACAACTTGTTGTTGTCATATTGATGATCAATCAATGTATATGTATATGTAACAGTCTACCAAATCATGCTGTGGCCTGCCAAATAAAAGCCTTCATACATCAATCAAACACAGTATGATGAGCCAGGTTATAGTACAAAGCATTGTGTTACAAAAATGTAGGATTTCTGATACAATTTTTTAAATGCTACTGTTCACTGTTAGTTTCCTTGAGACCTAGATAACAAATGAATGCACATTTATATTTATGTTAGTGTATCTAAACATATAAGATTTTTTTTTTTTTTTTTTTTTTTTTTTTTTTGTGATTTAAAATAGAAAGAAAGAAAAAAAAGACAGTGGGGAAGTTTAGTCCTCTGGAATTCCAATTTTTGTGGGAGTGCAAAGGCTTGATTACAAGACATGATCCTTTGATAAAATCTGAAAAAGCTTAATTGTTTTGAAAGAAGATTCTTTGAGATTGAAGTAATGTCTTTTTAAAAATGGAATTATGTTTTTAAAATCTATGATATTTTTTTATTTGTTCATAGAAATAAGAACAACATATTAATGTTTTTTTGTTATACCAAGTGAAGAACTAGCAAATGATACTGAATGCTATTTATATATTTATTCTTTTAGAAAGGAACTAAGATCAATAACTTATTAAAAACATGCCCATGTGAAGTTGCTGATGCAATTTAACCAACATTTTCTTAGAATATGCAAAATAGAAAATGTGATAGGTTTATAAAACATGAATAAGTTAGGATCAAAATAATGATTAGCTAATGAATAATGTTTTTGGTATTATTTTACAGATGGATAAAGGCTAATAAGGTTTAAATATATAATAATCATGAAAAACAATAAGAAATAAATAAATAAATAAAATATAGTTATAATACATGATTTAATTAAATAATACTATAGTTAATGAATAAAAATACTTATGATTAGTGATAGTAAACATAAAGGCAGATAATTAGAATAAATCTTGTGTGTTGATTCTGAAAGAATTGTAGATTATTGAAATATAACAGATCGAATATCTATATTAAAATGTAGACTATATTTCATTGATTTAAAAGTTAGTCTTTCATGTGATTAACCTTTTAAGAATTTATTATTCAAAGTTTCATAATTAAAATCATAATTAAATACTATAAATTTTAGAAATCAAAATTAGTACTATTATTTTCTTAAATAAAATAAAAAAATAACTGTTCTATGATAAAGAATTCTTAAATAGATTTATAGTTTTGAAAAGTTGAAACTTTTAACATCATTAGAATATACATTTATTTTTATTTTATAATCTTCCAAAAAGTTTAAAGCTATTCCAAAATATTGTAGAAAGAACTCTTAAAGTATTATAGGAAAGGAACTCAGAAGTAATTCTTATTATGACATTTTATTTAAGTAATGATAATAATAATGGCATTAGTTTAAGCCCTGCATACAAAAGTATAAAAAAGGAACGAGGTTTTGGTTAAATAGAATAATTTAATTTAATTTCTGGAATGTTATTCCTAGATAAATACCGAGTAATGGTTTAAAACATCTTTGTTATGTTGAAATGGACTAATATTAACCAATCTTAGGGAAGATATTTTATAAAAGGACAAACCCAACCCAAGAAAGAAATGGGCTTTCGTTTTTTTCCTTTTTCCCCTTCTTCCTCTCACAAACCACACATGCTCTCAACAAGAAATATGTCCTAAGAATCCATATTCTTCAGAAAAAAACAAAAAACAAAAAATAACAACAACATGGTGCTCAAAGAAACGAGGGAAAGAGGATGAAAGTAATCATCCGTTGAATGAGCAAGAACTATTGCCATTTTCCATATATATCATCCACTGTTAAAATAGTGTGACCCTCCATGCTCTCTCTCTCTCTCTCTCTCTCTCATTCTTTAATTAATCTTTTCTATATATATATACATATATATATATACATACATATATATATATATACATATATATATATATACATACATATATATATATACATACATATATATATACATATATATATATATACATACATATATATATATACATACATATATATATATATACATACATATACTCTTTCTTGTATTGTATTAGATTTTATTAGTGTTGCAGTGTCGAAGAGTGGCCGGCATCAAATTGTGCATTGAGTGAGAGATAGAGAGAGCCTGATCAGGTGACAAGCTTGTCTTCAATCAACATCTCACTCACTCACACACACACAGGAGGAGACAGTTTCTTATCCCCAAACCAAACTTAGTAGCAAGTATTTTTAGCTAGACGCACCAGCACACACCTCTTATTTTTAGGGTTTGGGTTGTGTGAGCAAATACACACACACACATATTTCTAGCATCAGGGCTTTGTAAGGAGAGATCAAGGGAGAAGGGAGAGAGTTAAGCTTGTGACCCTCCCTTGCCTTTGTCTCCTTCAGTGGTGGCATGCATGCCTAAAACAAAGGGCCCATGAGCTTATCCCCCCTTTTTCTTCATAATTGGGACGCCACATACAATAAAGCAAGGGGATATTCCTGTTGGGGAGAGAGAGAGAGAGGGAGAGCCATGTTGCATGAAGACTTCTACCAAAAAAGAAAAAGGAAAAAAAAAGGAAAAGAAAAAAGGCTCTGCCACTTTCAAAGGCTGATTGCAAGGTGGGTGTGCTAGTTTCTCCATCTAACTCATGTCTCTCCCCATTGCCACCATAGCTTTACCATTCAAGCATGATTTCAAGTCTCCAATTGTTGAATCCCTTCAAATATTTCTCTCTCTCTCTCTCTCTCTCTCTCTCTCTCTCTATCTATATAAATATATACATAACGTGAGAACTAAAAGCATGTGTTTTGTTTCAAAAAGTAAAAGTAAGGGGGGTTATGAAACCAGGGAAGCTTTTGTGAAGCTGGAACACAATAAACAAAAACAAAAAACAAAAAACACACATGCCCTAGTGTTTCAACCCTATCAGCCTTCTCCAGCTCTGGCTGACCCATGTGGGCACATAGTTTTGGGGCAGTGTTGTGACTAAAGGATGGGGACCCAGCTTTATCTCCATGCTCAATATAGTATAAGTAGGTGTGTGAGTGTGAGTGTTCTAGGTGTGTGTATGTGCTCTCATTGTTCGTGTTCTTCTCCAGCTGTCTGCAACTATGTCTAAAGACAATTTCAATCCTCAAGTATTCTTTTTGCTATTTTTGTCAGTTGCTGCAAACCCTACAATCTGTGCTGTGATGAACCTTTGCAATGTCGAACTCATTGTGGAGACAAAGTAGCATTATGATGGACTCAAAGCATGTGTTGTATTTTTGGCTTTGGCAAGACATCTAAATTGGTGAAATTTGATTTTTTACTTGACACTGGAAGTTTTGTATAATCAAAGTTTTTATTGTTCCAAACTTGTGTGTATGAATGATTTTTGAAATAATGTACAGTCATTTTATTTTATTGTTGTTAGTATATTGTGGGCACCTTGATGCCCACAATAATTGGGCAAAACGATTTAAATAAAATAAGGAATATTTGAAACATTTGCACAAGAGCAAAGAATAACAAGAAAGTTACGTAGGTCTAGAGTGTAAAGAAAACAACTCATCTCAACAAATGAAACATCTAAAAAAAAGCCCAACAAAACTTTGAACTAGAGAAAAGAATTGGTTTGTACTTGGATCAAATAATGGTATCAAAAGGTAGGCCACAACCCCACCTCTCAAGGTAAATTCCCCATCCAAAAAAAAACTATCGTTCTCCCTCTTTTAATAGTTTCATAACCCTAATGTGTCCGAAAAAGAAAAAAACAGAATTAAAAAGTTTAGAATAAATAAGAGGGGGGAGTAAAATAGAAAGAAAGAATGAGGAGGTGGACACCAAATTTGGGCCCCGGAGGTTCCAACATTGATGAACGTGGGGGCTGGGCAGCCGCCAAAGCTAGCTATCTATGTCCATCAGTGGCTATCAACACACCGGCGGCGCCCCCTTTTTTCCCTCGTTCCTGCCCGTAGCCCGGGCTCTATTCAGTACCAATACCGCGATAATGCGGCGACAGGAAGGGGGAGTCCAAGACCGCGGGTTGATGTGTCCAACCCCGCCAGCGCGCATGTCCACACCGCGTCTCGACAACCAGTTCCACCCCCCCTATTATTATTGTTACTTTAATTATCCTGCTCACGTGTCCGCACGCCCGCCCAAGTGGGGGCGAGCAGCTCGAACATACGTGGGATGGATTTAGGGGAGATGATTGCGTGTCTGGTATTGTGCATGGATTTGTGGTTCGGTCTTCCCAAATTACTCTCCTCGACATTGATTGTTGGACATCTTTTTCACTTGGAGTTTTGGTTTTGGAGCAGTAGTAGTATCTGCCCCTCGCTGGTTTCCGACGAACGGGGAGGGAAAAGTATGGCGACGAGCGGCTTCGGAAATACGCTGGACCGGCTCTATTTTTGTGCGGAGTTATTTCATTTCGTGGAACATGCTTGGGGATTCGTCAACCGGCAACTCTGACGCTTTACATCGCAGTCTGACTGACTACAGGGGGGGGGGTGTGTGTGTGTGTGTCAATGAGTGAATTGCGGAGTAGTTGAAAGAGTGGGGGGAAGATCCTCAAGGGATGAGAGACTGTGAAGGGAAATCAGAGCATCATGTTACGCTAGTAACGGTTAAACTTAAAGTAATCCAACAGATGGTGCTGGCAGAGCAGTCAGAGGAACAGTTCACACAAGTCACGCACATCAGCCCCATCATCACCGAGTGGAATTCATTGTACAGCGCGGTTACTTAGCACTGAGTAACTTCCGTCAGGGAGGCCATTACTGTGGAAGTAAACCGGAGCTTCTCACGGTAATCGCTAGCGGAGAGGCGTTTCAGTATTGCAGAGAAAAATTCCCCTCGGGGACAGAGCCTCGCAGGTGCAGCAGGCCATACCTGGCTGCCTCCAATCTCTCTCGCCTTCTTTACTTCTCCCTGGCTCGCTTGTCGCCTTGGTCTCATTGTTTGGCAGGACAACCGCTCCGTGCTTCTTCGCCGTTGTTCTGTCTTTTTCCCCTAGTTTCGATTTTGAGGAGAGATGGAGTGGTCATTTGATCTGTAGGTTTACGTTGAGCGTGCGGATAATTCAGTGTCACCTATGCATCGAGCGGTCAAGAAGGACGTGAACTGAATAGTCAGGATTCTAATTCCGACGTTTTGAAATAGTGGTGTCGTTGATTTCTTTCCTGAAGAGGAGCGGTTCGTGTTCAGAGCTTGGGTTGTGATCAATATTGTCGAGGTTGTGTGGTGGCGGATGACGGCACGTTCCTGGTGTGCTTAAGCGACTAGTTTGAAACTTTTGGGCTCCTTGGTTGACTTGCTCAATTCGGTTGAGCGGTCTCGTGGTTTTGGCATTGGTGGTTGATTGTTGCGGAGGGAATTCGTGGTGTGTTTGGAGGTTGTGGCGCCAGAGGTTTCGCGCATGTTGGTTCAAGGATTGTTTTGATTATCGATTGACTTGCTAGAATAGTCTCCTGGCGAGAAAGACCGGAAGATCCACGGAAGACTGCAGACACTCTGAAGGGACTTAACGATCTCGCGGTGGTTTCTGACGCTTGATTGCAACGAGTGTATCGTAATTTCCAGCTGAGATGCTCGTGAAGCCTGGTGTACATGTGGGAAGGAGCCATGGGTGTCTTTCAATCTGACGGAATAGAGGAGGTGCAACAGGTTAAGAAGCAAGGAGTCCATCACGGTGATTGGAATTCTGGGGAGGCATGGCTGCGACAGGCGCAACACTTGACATCACTAGCGGTAACGGATGCGGCATTAGTTAAGGCATTTCTTGGGCGCTGGAAAGCTATTGAGAATCGGTTGTTGCAGCTGCCTGCTCTTCTCACTGAGATGTCACACCTTCATTGTTTGTCCGACAACGCTGTCTGCAAGGAAGTCCTGAAGGTAATGGCCAGATGCTGATTAGAACCTTTGAAACGGTGTGTGGTGTCTGCGAAAGCCGTGGTCTTCCCTCACATGTCGGTCGCTGTAACTTTTGTTTGCCTTTTGTAAATGTTTGAGGAGCTTGTGGGGAATAAAGCGCTTGTTAAGGCTTCTCCACACGATAGATGTTCGTGGAACTTGTTCTGGCTGCTCGCTTGTTTTAATTTGACTTGTGCATTAATGTGTGTCATGATGTGGTGCCAGACCATCATCGAGACATTGGAGGAAGCTCGTAGCCTAGCAATGAAGTGTACAGAATTAAGTTTCGGTGGGAAGCTACACACTCAGAGTAACTTGGACTCCCTTTGTGGCAAGCTTGATATTCACATCCACGATTGTCAGTTGATGATTACAAGTGGTATTATGCAAGAAAATCCGTTGGCGATTTGCCGAGTCACTCCAGAGTCGACGCGGGAGGCCATCCGGTGGACCATAAGAGACCTTCTCGCTCATCTTCAGATTGGAAGTGTGGACTGCAAACAAAGAGCGCTTGACAGTATGCTTCGGCTTATGGCGGACGACGACAAGAATATTCTAATGGTTGCTGGCCAGGGTGCAGTGACAACCCTCGTGCATCTTCTAGACGCCAGCCAGCCTGCAATTAGGGAAAGAGCAGCAGCTGCCATCTGCTTTCTCGCTTTAAACGACAGTTGCGAGCATGCGGTAGTTGCGGAAGGTGGCATTGCCCCTCTTGTTCGTCTCTTGGATTCTGGTAGTCCACGGGCTCAAGAGAGGGCAGCAGCCGGATTACAGGGCTTGTCTATTTCAGATGAAAACGCCAGGGCGATTGCAACGCATGGAGGAGTTCCTGCATTGATAGAAGTTTGCCGAGCCGGTACGCCAGGTGCGCAAGCCGCTGCTGCTGGATCTTTACGGAACATTGCTGCAGTTGAAGAACTTCGAAGTGGCATTGTGGAAGATGGCGCTATTCCGATTGTCATCAACTTAGTGTCTTCTGGGACGGCTATGGCGCAAGAAAATGCCGCGGCTACGTTGCAAAATCTCGCAGTCTCCGACGACAGCATCAGATGGAGGATCGTAGAAGATGGAGCTGTTCAACCGTTGATTAGATACTTGGATTGTTCCTCGGAAGTGTGTGCCCAAGAAATCGCCTTGGGGGCATTGCGCAATTTAGCAGCGTGCAAAGATAACATCGATGTCCTCTGTAGTGCCGGCTTGTTGCCCCGCCTCGTAAGTTGCATTCGTACTGGATCGATAGTTTTGCAACTGGTGGCAGCCGCTGCGGTATGTCACATGTCTTGTTCCATGGAGGCTAGGCTATCGTTGGGCGAAACTGGAGTCATAGGCCCATTGGTAAAACTTTTGGATGCTAAGTCCAACACGGCTCAGGAATATTCTGCACAGGTATACACCTGTTTCTACTTAATCCTGTCTTTTCGGATTGTTTAAGTGGGCACTTTATTGTTGTTTGTGGTGTTAATGTGGGTGCTATTATAAGTTATTTTGTGACATGTAAGATTGTCCAATACTGCGATGTTTGCAGTTTTTCTCATTTTTTGCCATTGTTGCGCAGGCCTTGGCTCTTCTTCTCCTTGTCGAAGAGAACCGAAAGCTCTTTTTGGCTGAAGATTGGGGCATCGTCGGATTAGTGCTGATGTTAGACACTCGTTTTCAGGAGGTTGGTAAACAATATCCAATTGCGGCACTACAGGCTCTTTCGGGAAGTGCAAAATGCAGGAAACAGATGGTGACTGCCGGTGCTTGTTACCATTTGCGTCAGTTGTCTGAATTGGGAGTCCCAGGTGCTAAAAGACTGTTGGATCGATTGGTCGCTGGCAAGTTCCGAAGTATCATCACCAAGACTCTATTGGTGAGTACAATATATGTACCAGTCTTTTGAGCGGACTCTGACATTTGCTTGCATGGGTTGGATGTTATGCTTTTCCTGAGTAAAACCTTGAGTGTATCTGGCCACATATCTTTTGTGGTGCATAAGTTTTACAATCCACCTCTTGGACGAATTGTAGTATTGAAACTAATCTGCTATTCATTGAAATTTGCAGATGAATTCGTTTCACAATTGATCGTCGTATTCATCTTCAGTCGCGAACTGGAAAGGGGACTACACAGCAGAATCTTTTTTCAGCACCATGATTATCAATAAGAACTTAATTTGCAGGTAACTGAAGCCCTGTGCTGGATAACCATAAAGTTGTGCCATAGATACACACTGACGCTGTTCTGCGAGTTCATGCAGGAAGCAATACGTAGTTAGATCTGGGGACATTCATTCAATACCCCGCTGATTATTGGAACGAGATGTAATATATCGACATAGGAAACGGGGGCCAGCTATTATGAGCCGCCGCATTAGGTCAGTAGGATTAAAGCCTCCTCCTTTGTAGACTGAGGAGCCACTGTGCAGTTAGTGTGAGACTATGAAGCAGCCGACTAAGGCAAATGTTGCGCTTGTACAACATTATACAGATCCCTTCCTATCTTTTTCCTTTTTTGCTTCGCTTTCTAGACCTTCTTGTGCTCGATCTGCTTGATTCGTGTAGCAATCTTCATATCAAGTAGGTATCTACCACAACCGGTGCACTCCCAAATCTGAGCACCATGGCAGAAACGGAAGGATGTTTCTTATAGTCGTAGCCCTTGGAGCACAAACACAGATTATCTTTTGCAGAAGGTAAATTGTAGACAAGATCTTCATGGCATGCTCTTCTGAAACTTCAAGTCATAATCCGTGTATATTTGTAGCTGTCAATCTGAATGTTTCTAGCCACAACACAATCCGGTCCATGTTTTCTTACACGTCTGTCATATTCTCACCTCTTCAACACCTCCGTTCATACATCGAGGCATCTATTGTTCGTATTTACATCAAAACACATCTTTTCAATGTGTTAAGTTTTTCGGGATGGGAAGTGTACCAGTACAATCATATTTTTTATGTCTTATTTGTAAATGAAATATGAAAATACAAAAATACAAAAATCTAGAAATATGAAAATACAAAAATTTAAAACAAAGATTTTTCTATTCTCCTATTGCAAATAAGAAAACTATAATCTTTTCAAATAGTTAGCAACCATATATAAATTTAAACTATTTTTTTAATAAGTTAGATATTAATTTTTAATTTTTAATTTCTTTTTTGTAGTTTGAAGTCATCACCAACTATAAGTAGTTTGTGAGACTTGCAAATTCTATAGTATTTTGCAAGATCCATCTACCAATTAAGTAAACAAAGAAATGGCAGAGAACATTTGATAGAATCTTTGATGTGACAAATATCCATAAGACTAGTTTCAACAATATCCATAATTATGATTTATTAAATACTAGAAAAAACTTATGGGATTGAGCACAAAAAAGTTTTAAAATGATTTGTTAAGCAAATAATAAAGTGGAGGTCTTTTTGCAAGTTATGCAAGATTTTTTGTTGGTTAACAATTTCATTAATTTTGGCAATGAGAAGGCTTCTTTATGTCTTTGTGTTATCCTTAAGCTGTTTTATTATATATATATATATATATATATATATTATTTTGTGTCTTGTCATAAATGACGCTGGTTATGATTGATGAAGTAGAAATGTAGGGTAGTACAAGGACAGACGGTTAAAAGTGCTTCTACCTCGTTATTACACACACTATTACCCTACCACCACGGTGTAACTAAGGAGCCTATAGCTGCCGAACAGGCACTGTGTGAGTGAGTCCTCCACGACGGTTTGCATTTTGAAACAAAGTCGACTGCCCCGACCTCTCACTCGCACCGCTTCCCCCTCTTTCTCGACTCTTCAACTCGCTGCGCCATGCCTCAGTCCCCCCCCCCCCCCGTTTCGTCTCGCCTTTCGCTGGTATGCATCGGCTACGGTCGATTGGTGCAAGGAGTGTGTATGTCCATGAGTACCCGCTTGCGTTGCTGTTGTGTGCTGTTCAGACATCCTCTCCTGTTTTGTTTGCAGCATGTTTCAATCCGTATCGCTTCTGTAATCTTCTCTGCTGCATGCAGCAAGTGGATCGTGTAATAGAGTGTGCTAAGGCTGCTTTCTCCTTGTTACGTTTTTTTGGATCTTGTTCTGATTGAGGTTTGTTTCGGCATAAAGGCTAATTTAGACTTTTTCGAGATTTGTACATAGTTTTGTGTTTTTTGGCCTGAATTCTGTATCGCGTTGAAGGAAAAGCTTGTTGTGGATGATGTGGATTCTATATTTCACAACATGAATTGATCACAATGTTTGCACATCAGGGACATATTTGACTGTGTTGAGGAGGTTTTGATGTAAGGGGATGCGCTGGATGCAGCTTCTTGCCTATCAAGGGATATATGACATTGTCGCTGCGAAAGTGTTTGCTGAAGCGCATGAGGAGGAGAATTCTGTGCTTGAAGAACGCTGATCATTTGTATATTGTAATGTATCTCTCGTACTCCCTCGGTGCGCAAGCATGGAGAGTGGTCGCCACCTGCATGCATCCTCGATTTGTGGCGTTTCTGTTCTTTGCAATGTACCGATTAAGGTCAAACACAACCACGGAAGGAACTTCTCCATGGCTACGTTCTCAATTCACTGTCAATTATCCACAATAAACCGTGGGCTTTGACCTACTTGTGGTCTCATGTAGTAGAAACCTTTGTGAAGGGCTATATCTTGGCTTTCTCCTTCGAGCTTCCATGAACTAATAGAAGGAGGAGGAGTGCCTTGTGAGACTTCTGACGATGTATAAACAAGCACTCATCCTTGGTCCTTGTCTTCACGTTCTAAGATGAAATCATTCAGGAAATACGCAAATCCGAGCAGAATTCTTCGGAACATTACTGGTATTAAAAGCTCTTACTCATGCTACACGATGTCACAGATGTTAAGCAATGGCATTGTAACGATCAATTACAACAAAATTTATTCACACATGCGTGTATATGTATGTGCTCTCACCTAAACACATTTATGAATGTCTTGCAGGTTTATTAAATGGACTTAATATTTAATATTTAATTTTAATTTTAGTTTTAAAAGTTTTTGATCATTTTAGATAAATGATTGAAAATGCAATGAAACGAATATGAGAGAAGCTACATTGAAGATGATATCTCATTTGATCATGTCCAAGATTATTAAAAATTGCACTATTCTTCCACGCAATGTTTGTCAATTCTGATTATTTAATTAAGATTTATTCTGTAAATTGAAATGCATCAATTTACAGAATACAGTAATACATGGCAACCATACACATTGTATTGTCATCAGATTAGCACAGAGACTCCATGTACTCTTGTTTGTTTCTTAGGGATGGATGTTTGTGGAAATTTGGGGTGGTTAATTTATCGTCTCTGCAGAATATATTTCTGGATTATTCATGGCGTTATTGAAGAATGAAATCAATTTACCTTGTGAAAAGCTACCTCTTAATGAATTCAAAATTGTTTTAAACTATCATTAAATTCTTAATTAAGAAAAATAAGTTTGTAGTTTTTCATACAATACAAATTATTATAAAATTTGAAATTTATCAAAAACTTTTAATATAACATACTAATAATTATTCAATATTGAATCAACTATCTCTTATATCTAACAAGAATTATGTATGTAATTAACACAAGCTATTTAAAATGTCACTTACAATTCTAAATAAGTTTTTAATTTTTGCTGAAAATGTATTGACCTAAAATCTTGGCTGATCATTTAAATATTCAAATTATTAATTTTTTCAAATTATCCTTAAATTTACTAAAATAAAATCTATCAAATCTTCCATAATATTAAAAAAAATCATAACCCTAAATTCAAATCTCTTGACAATTTTGTTTTAAATACCAAAAGCTCTTGAAAATTTTGTTATATAAATATAAATATAAATATATATATAAATATATATATATAAAAAAATATAAATATATATAAATATAAATATAAATATATATAAATATAAATATAAATATATATAAATATAAATATATATATAAATATAAATATATATATAAATATAAATATATATATAAATATAAATATATATATAAATATAAATATATATAAATATAAATATATATAAATATATATATAAATATATAAATACATATAAATATATAAATACATATAAATATATATATAAATATATAAACATACATATAAATATATATATAAATATATAAATATAAATATAAATATATATATAAATATATATATAAATATATATATAAATATATATATAAATATATAAATATAAATATAAATATATATATATATATATATATATATATATATATACAACAAATACATAGAAACTAGAAACAAATATAGAAGGTAGAATGCAATCTTTCTTTGACCTTATTATTTTTATAGCAAAGATTTTGTATCCTTTATCTTAATTTTGATAGATGATGTTGACAAAGAATATCAACCTTCTTTATTGCATTAATAAGATTCTTAATTGGCTTATATGTATATTTACTTATATCATATTTATACTAATGAATAAGATATTTTAACCTTTTTTGAAAATCTTTTGAGTCTAAGACTTCTTTAATCTCAAACTCTTTATTATTGTCTACTTCTATAAAAAAATATAGCATTTATCTTTTTCTTGATATATTTATTGTCTTATATGATTCACAAAGAAATATATAGAATACATGATGGATTTTCATAGATTCCATTAGATATAATTAATAATCTAATTGATTTGTTCATAAATAAGAAATGCTTGAAATCCTCGATAATCTAATTTATCACAAAGGCAAATAGTCTTGATATTGTAACATAGTAATTATATATAGTCATTAATGTAGAATTGAGGTTGTTTCTTGCGATAGACATTTGCATTAATCTTTATTTATTTATTTATTTATTTATTTATTAGTTTTTCCATCATTTTGCATATAGCTTTGATAAATAATCTATTAAATCTTTTACAATAGGATTATCAACTTTTAAGGAATCAAAAGTATCAAATTATGAATAATTAATATAATTAATAAAAATATATTTATTAAATATACATATATATATATATATATATCATGTTATTATAAGCAAAATTTGCCAATGTCAAAAGAATTGTCCAATCATCTTGTTGGTAGTTAATGGTATACATCAAATACTACTTTAAAACTTAATTTACTTCCTTTATTTGTCCATATATTTAGAGATAGAAAGCTGAAAATAATTTTATTTCTTCTTATAAAATCTTAAAGAAATTTCTTTTAAAATCTTGATACAAATTAAGTCCTTCTATCCAATATAATAATTTCTTAACAATCTATGATAACAATAAATATTTTCAAGAAAAAACTTACTTATTTTTTTACTTGTAATAGTTTTTATATAAGATAGAAAATGTGCCATCTTGGTGAAACGATCTACTATTACAAATATAGAGTATAAAAAGCTGAGACTAGAAGATCTATAATAAAGTAATAATTCATGAAGTTCATAAGATCAATAATGAGGGATTTTTGATTATGAAAAAATGTCACATGATTACAAAAAGTCTTTGATTGCCTTCCAAATTCGAGGCTACTATAAATCTTTAGATACTAGCTTCTAAGTCTTGTTATATCTAAAATGTTTGGATATTGGAAAGTTGTGATGAACTTGAAGAACATGTAATTATGCTTTATCTTTTAAAATATACAAATTTTTTTTAAAATAAAGTAGATTATTCTTAAACTTGAACTTAGAAATTTATGAGACTTAGAAGAATTAATCTTAATATTATAAACAAGAGAATCAAGAAACATATTCAATTGAACTTGCTTAAAAAAGATTGAATCAATACTCAATGTTGATTTCATTGCTTAAAGATGAAATTGCTTTGGCTTCAAGAAGATCATTTTTTGTTAATCTAAGCTATATCTCTTTCTTTTAGTATAAGATAAGAACATCTAGAAAAGGCATTTGAAAAACATTATAGACTTTTTAATTGAAATATAATTTTAGGATCAAAACTTGATAAAGACATGCTCCAACACACTTAGTAATGATTTAAAATACATGCTAATATGAAATATTCAAGATTTTTAAGATTTATATACATAGTGATTGGATTGGAAGTTTTTGTTTAGATAATAATGCTATTTTTGAAATAAATCTACAATTGTAAGAAGCTCTTTGTTGTAGATTTCATAATTAATCTTTATTGCTGAAAATTTCTTGGAATAAAAAACTACTAGATGGAATTTTTTATTTGCTCCTATTTGTGATAATATTGTTATTAAGGTATATTCTAATGCATCTATTTTCATAAAAAATACTTTAAATAAGTTGATATATTAGAATATTAGTATAAAAGTAAAAGCTATTTTTAAAACTTTAAAAGATGCTTCAGTTTCTTTCTTCTACTCAAGTTTATCTTTACATGTCAAATGTGTAAGAAAAGAGGCAATTTGATTTTTTTTGATGAAGTTACTATAATAATTAGCAAATTTTAAAAAATATTATATATCTTTGATAATTTTTGAGATCTTCCAATCTATAATAATTTGGATCTTTTTAGGATCAATTAAATGGCCATCATTATAAATAATATATCCTAAGAAATTGACTTAAATATTTTAAAATATACATTTTTTTTTCTTCTTTTTTTTGGCATATAATCCTACATTTCTAAGTTTATGTAATACATGATAAATATGAAGTTCATGCTCTTCTATGTTTTTAAAATAGATTAAAATATTTTCTAAATAATAGACAATAAAATCATCAAGAAATTCACAAAAGATATCATTCAACATCTAATAAAAAGACATAATATTATATTTAAAATGAAATAAGACTAGACTATCTAAAAAACCTAAGATCCTTCTAATCTACAATAATATAAGGCTTCCTCACAAAATAGAATAAAACAGATTAGAATAAATCTTAACGGAAGTAAATAGAATAAGACATGAGAGACAAAATTGAGCAAACAAAAATAAAATAGAATAGATTTGAACAGAAAGATGTAAAACCAAACTTTACTAAGAGAAAGGGTCTGAAGCCATACTTGACTACATGTCCCAACAAGCCCTTGTTAGTCCTATTTATATTTTGTCCTACTACCATAGACTTTCTAGAATGTTCTTAGGTTGTAGGCCCTATCTAGATAATTGCCTTAAACTCCTTTTCTAGAAGGTTTCATGGTAGGTTCCACTTGGATAACTATCCTAAGCTTTCTTTTAGAAGATTCTATGATGGGCCTTACCTAAATAACTGTCTTAAATCTTTTTTAGAATATTCTATGATAGATCCTACCTGATCTATTAATCTAACTTTAATTCTAAAAACTTCCATGGTTCTAATTATCTATATAATTATCTTATTTATATCCTATTATAAGTAATCTCCTTCCACTAATGTAGAACATCCTCGTTTTGCTTCCAATGATATCCCTGAATTGTCTCTTAGCAATAGGTGAGGTTTTGTGTAGGTTTCTATGTTACATTGTAAATAAAATAACCTTTCGAAAGAACTTTATATTGAAATTGTGGACGCCTATTGCCACGACGAAGGTATTGATGCTCCAAATCACTCTCCACTTCATATTCTTATTGGACATCAACTACAATTGGTGGTGGTAGTCGTGGTTGGTATCGATCCGGAAAGCGCTTTGGCTTGGTATGAAATTCTTTTAATTGCAAAATATGGAAGACTAGATAGATTCAAATATGTAGTGGAATCTTGAGGTGATATGCAACATTAGATATTACAGCAGAAATGTGGAAAGATCCAAGCCTTTGACATGCTAATATACAAATTTGGATTGATGTAACAAGTGACAAGTTGGTGTTGGAGAATAATACTTGATCACCCTCCTAGAAGGTCTTATGTTATTGATGGTTATCTACATACTACTTTAGTCGATTCTATGCAATAGGGAGGTAATGCCATGCCTCTTGTAAGGTTATTGTAAGCCATTCTTTAAATTCATCCATTGTCAGGTTGTTGATATCGATGGGACAATGAAGAGTTGCTAGCATAATTGAATGCTAACCGATATTAAGAAAAAATAGTGAATGACTAGTACTTCCTTGAATACTATCATTATAAGCAAGCTGCAAGGGTGTCAAGTATTCATCTCAATCATTATGATAAACTGCCACAAATGCTTGTAATATATCCTCCAAGGTCTAATTTGTATGCTTTGTTTGCCCTCTGTTTAAGGATAGAAGGTTGTAGACATGACAAGTCGTGAGCCCAATAGCTTGAATAAGATATCAAAACCTTCATGTGAAATATGGATCTCAATCTGAAATGATGACATAAGGTAATCTATGGTGATGAAAGACTATATTAAAGAAGTCTTATAAAAAACATTGGAGCATCAATATCCTAACATACTACGGCTAACTGAAGTTGCTTTAAAAATCAATCTACAAAGATAGCAACAACGGTATGATTATGAAGCGTCTGTAATAAATACATAATGATATCCATAGTCACATGCTTCCAACGTGTCGTGAATAGCAAAATTGGCTACAATAGTATTAGAGACGTTGCATTGCATACTTTATTACATTGACATAACTAG